CACAGCTGATTTAAATGGCTAAATTAGCTCCTCAACATGTCCTGAAGTTCTCCAGAGGCCTGGTAACGAACTAATCATGTGATTCAGGTGTGTTGACCCAAGGTGAGATCTAAAACCTGCAGGGACACCGGCCCTCGGGGACTGAGATTGCTCACCCCTGGTCTAGCTCCACAGCCACAACATTACTGGCCTCGTGGATTAGTTTGTTGAGTCTGTTGGTGTTGGTTGATTGGTTGTAAGGTAAATAAAGTGCTTTAAGTGTACATAATAAAGCCCTGTATGTATGATTAAAATGTGACTTGTAGTCTAAACCTCTTTGAGTGGTCAGTATGAGTAGAAAAGCAGTGTATAAATGTGAGAACATTATATCTCTGGAAACTAATGGGAAGAGAAGAAACATGCTAGTAGGGCTGGGTGATATGAGAAAAATCTAATATCACGATATTTTTTGGCTACATCACGACACATATAGCAATATGTTTAAATAAACTTCAAAAATAAATATTTTCAACAATATAGTACCTAAAATTACACTGGAATACTCATTCAAATCGACCATTCAAGGTTTTCTTCTACTTTGAATACAAAACATTTGAATCAATTTAAATGTTTTATCCTAACCATTTTTTAACCATCAGTAGCACACACAAGTTTTTCACAAATGACAATACTGTCAGAGTAAGTCTCTTTCTGTGGTCAACACCAGACCTTTAACAAACTAAAGATCATAGCAACAAAAAAGGACATCAAGCAATAATTGAATAATACAACTGAAAATAAAAGGATGCTCTTTTGTGCTTATAACATATAAAAATTGTAAAATAAAACATGCGATGACTTCAATTTACAGTAACTATAGTAACTATTAAAACGACTGACCAAGAATAGTCCAGGGTATCGCAGCTGGTTTGTTTAACGTTTTCTTTGGTTTACGGGAGATGGTGACACGCAGAGTTTGAAACATTCTTCATTTTGCAGTGGATAACTTTTCAGCTGGTGGAATAATTTCGTGATATTGCTCTCTTTTGCGGGAATAGTTTTACGGCATGTTTTGCAAATTATTGCATTTTGTTCTGCATCATCCCTGTGAAATCCAAATGACAGCAAGTGTCAGTCCCTCACTCGTCTGACACTCCCGCTGTCGCCAAATTTTTCCCAATCTGGTAGTATATAAACACGCATGCTCAGCACAGTGTGCCAGGTACAAAACTTTCCAATTGGGACGGGGGAATTAATGATGCATTCCCAGCGTGTGAGAGAGAAAAAAATTTCACAGTGAATTACATGAAGACAGCTTAATATTGCCATGGCAATTTATACTCGATGGTTACGATAAAGCCAACTTAACCATTGTACGTGGAAAAAATTAGATATATCGCCCACCCCTACATGCTAGTGAAGGCATCTACGTGTTTATCAGAGAACCTCTTTTAAACATTTAGATTCACCTTGCCAAGTAGCTGTGAAATAACTCCTGCTACTTATACTGTATCTCCTTGATACTGACATCATCATACTTTTTGGTATAGTTTATTTTTATTCTTAGGCTTGATGTGAAACTTAACATGTAAACAAATGACAAAAGTGAACACTCATCTCTGCATGCATGCCAAATATCTATGATTGTGCAAACTTGTCTCCATAGACGTTATGGATAAACAATGGAAAGACTGTTCATCTGTAGCTGTGTATGTCCACATCCACAGCAATGCATAATCCCTGCATACTACTGCTGAAATGGTCGCCCCTTGGCCTTTACCTAAACAACCACTTTCAGCAGCGACCATTTAAGGGCTCACCACAGTAATTATCTGCCTCTTTGCATTCTCTGCTGTCACCAGAGCCCTTTTCGTGTCTTTCTCTACTACATCCATGAACTCTCTTACCTAGCAAATCCACATTCAACATCCCTTGTTCAGTATATTAATAATCCCTCATCTGTACATCTTCAAACCATCTCAACCTTGCCTCTCTTAATTTTGTCCCAAAACTGCTCAATCTGAGTCGTCCCTCTAATATACTCATTTCTAATGCTGTCAATACTTGCACTGAAAATGTTAACATCTTCAGTTCTGCCTGGGTGATAGACTGGCTACTTGTCCTGGGTGTACATTGCTACATACCCAAAGTCAACTGGGATAGGCTCCAGTTGACTTTCCTCCACAAGCCGTGGCAATGAGGCATTGCTAAACAGAATTCTGCCAACATTTCCCCTATTTGTGAAGTAAATCGTAAACCGTACCTGGCGGTTTCAAAGACTTTTGGTAGATTTTATCCACACATAACGATCGCGTTGACACAAATATGACCAAAAGAGAAAGACAGGAAAATACAAAAAACTCAGAATTCTGAATTTGACATAAAGTAAAATCGTCGCAAAACAAGTGAAAACTCTTATTTGTCGTATGGCTTTACGGGATCGAGCAACTTTATAGAATGGGTATGAATAAGCTCAGGTACACCTTGAGAGCTGTATAAAGCGTAACCCCTAACACTGACCCAGCCTACAGTTCCAGCATGAAAGCTGTAAAACCATGTCAATTTGTCAAATCACAATACTTCGCATCAATGAAAATCTTATCGTGGAGAACGGCAATAGTGGGTGTTTTCACAAGCACCTCTCAAAGGTCAACAAACGCGACTCGAATACAAAGTGACATGTCGTAAGTCACATTAGTTATAAATGAAATGTTCTGCTGTAAACAACAGCTATCACAAGACTAGTCTCGATTTGAGCTTTTAATCGATCTATCTTCTTTAAAAGCAAAGCTGTTGTCAGGCCACATATCTCCTTACCTCCATCTCAAAGGCAGATGCTACCGCAACACAGGCGTTGTTTAAACTACACTTCACCGCTGCAATATTCATCATATCACATTGAGTCGGTGCACATTATTAATATATAAGCACTCACCTGTCCTCATTTTCGAGTCTCTCTGCACATCCTGAAAAAAAACACCTTTTTCTCTCCATATAAACACACTTCTGATGCTTCACTGTACAACAGCAGCCATGTTGGAAAGCGTTCAGCTAGGAGGAAGGAAATATTTGTGT